ACTGACCACCCGAGCTTTCTCTGCGACGATATTACGTCGACGGCGTCAGCCACGCCACGTCATGAGGGTCAAGTGCAAATCGTACGGACCCGACACGGGCGACGAAAGTGGGCGTGGGTCCGGGTCCAAGCCCCATCATTAAAAAGCATGGCCGCCGCAACCGGGACCGTAACCCAGCGAAAATCCGGTGGTTCAGATGAGGATCGTTGCTAAGTTGGGTCGTGTCAGGCGGAAAGCAGTGTCTGCACCTTTCCGTAACCTCACTCTCATTGGCTGAAACGCGGGTGCACGTTAATTTCTGCGTCACGATCGAGTCTAAAGGTGGCTTCTCTACCACCACCTTTTTTGTCAGCGTCCCGCGACACTCCTCGCATCCATACCTCGGGTTGTAATGATCCATGGAAGCGGTCAGCGTGACTGTGCAGCACGATATCACTGTTATACTTTTTTCACACGTGCACGTGAAACAGCGCTAATTAATGTTGGTTCGTTAAGAACCGCCGGACGTCCAAATGTATGCACCTTGACTTGGCGTGGTCTCGTGGTAGCCAGCGGCGCGGCGTTATCCGCCACTTTACCTAGAAACCTGTGGCTCCGTTGGCCGGGGTTACGGTTACGTAAAGCCACCTCAGGTTATCAGCACGAATTAATGTTTTCTCTAATTATAAGAGGAGAAGCGTAGAAGTTCATGAATGTCTTCGGCCCCAGCTCCCAGAAGAAGAGTGACATCACATTTGGACCGCGTTTAGCAGAAAGGAACCAAGCCACATCAGCTATCGTCAACTTTAAATTTAAATTTTTAAGGTATTTGCTTCGCACCATGCGAAAATCACTGAAAAAAAAATCCGCACAACCGTAAAAAATTGAAGTGACCCATTAAATTTGACAACACCTGATGTGGCTTGGTGCCTTTCTGCTTAACGCGGTCCATCTCGAATTCGGCATTGCCGAGGCAAAGCAACCCACCAATTGGACTGCATTTCGCAATTTGCAACTGTAAATTCTAGACAGGTTTAAAAACAACGTATGTGCCATTAGTTTTCCTATGCACATAAGTGTTTTTCCAGAGCCAGAATTTATAGTTCCAAATCGCAAAATGCAGTCCAATTGTCGATCAATTCTCATTGTCTCCGTATAGGTCACTGAACTCTGATAAAGATGGAGACAGATTGACACGGCCTTTCTTTTCGGTTATTTTGTCTGTGTCATTTGTTTGCGCAATTTTTGCACCCGTGCGAATCATGCATTTCCTCTCGTTCGAATCATTCGGTACAGTTAAATTCAGGCATTTCCAGTATTTTCTAGTCGTTGCGATGAAGAGTGTTTTAAAATAGATACACTGTCATTTATCGCAAAATCGTGCCTGTAAAACCGGACGTAACACGCAGACTATTCTTGCGTGGAGTGTGACGCAAGTCCCCATTTCGCAAAAAATCGAGTGAGTCACCCCTACCCCTCGCCCCCGGCGGGAAGAAAGGAGTGAGGCATATGCAAATGTAGGCCGCGCTGTCATTACCCCACGCGCCTCACGCAATTCCCGAGAAAGCAGGGTTACCGGAATGGGGGATTCCGAACTGGTACGGGCCGAAGGGGAGGGTAATCCGGAACCCCTCGCCTTGCATGGGGATGAGAAATTGCCCTTCCCTCCCACCGCGGCTCCGCGAGACCTGGCTGACCTTCACCGTAGTCAAAGTGGAAAAAAAGGCCCCGTGAATCAAAACGTTACAAGTGGATTCTCGGTCGCCGGCCCCCTCGGGGTAGTCCCATTCGGGCCATTCGCGTTTCGGCCCGCTAGAATAATAACCTTTCACCCTCGTGCCTCCCCCGAGCTCGGCTGCTAGGGTTCGTTACCACCTGTCATATTCATGCCAGAGACAAGGGTGAGTTGTGGCATTTTTACGTTTGGAACGGATCCATCATCCCCCTGCGCCTCTCC